CGGAATATGCATTTGCGAAGTGATTTGGGGGGGGGGGGGGGAGGGGAGGGGAGGGGGTAAAAGAAAAGGGAGGGAAAATCTCGATTGCACAAAAGGTTGCAAAAAGAGATCTAGGGGGAGGGGCAGGGGACGGGGCGGAATGGGACCAGACTGTGGGCCCACTGGAAAGGGACCGGACAGCGGGCCCGCCTCTGGGTCTCGGCAGCCCCGCTGTGCCGCAGCCTCGCCTTGTCTCAGGGCCATCGACGACCCCCCCTCCGACGGCTTTTTGCCGCGCATTAAGAGAGCTGGCGGGTATCCTTACAGCAATGGAGGGTCCTCTTACAGCAATGGGGGGTCCTCTTACACAAATGGGGGGTCCTCTTACACAAATGGGGGGTCCTCTGCTGCGGCGCTAGCGGAGGGTGGCACCATCCGCCGGGCTCAGCGCGCCGTTTCCGCCGCCGCCTCCTCCGCCTCTGGTGCTGCCACCGCCGCCTATGCTGCCACTGCTTGTGCCTCGTCGTCATTTCCACATAGTCACGTGTCATGCTTCCCTCCGGGAGACCGAAGGTGGTGCTTCTCTCCTCGCAATGGGAGCATTTTTCATTACTCCCCACCCCTCGTCTGCGGGGTCACCGACTGTGCAATCGTCGAGCATGATGACGATCAACACGTCGACCGATCGAATCACAACGAGGACGGCGAGTGTTTCGATGGTGATGAGTGGTTCGATGCCGACGATGAAGAAGGAGGAAGAAGAAGAGAGCAGCAGCGAGATCTAAGGCTTTGGGAAGGAGGAGGTCGATGGCCCAGCGGCAATGACACCTCCTCCTCCTCCTCCTCCACCTCATCCTCCCCCTCCTCCTCCTTCCTTGCACCTCATCGTTGTGCTGTCTGTTCCAGTCCCGCCGCCGTTGACTTTTCAAGTCAAAGTCCAAGGAGCAAAGTCAACGTCGCCGCTAGCGAGAATGGCAACGGTCACAGCTTGCTGAGCGGCGGCTGGCAGCGAAATGCGAATCCCATGATTCTTGAAATCCCCGAGCAACAACTCAGATGCCACGTGTCACGTCGTCGGCTTCGGCGCCACTGGTACCCTCACGCTGTTTTTAGCCCATCCGACGGCCTCGTCGGCAGTTTCGATAGACTTGCTGCTTCGACGACGATACCGACCCAAGACGACCTGAAGAGAGCTGCAGCAAAGAAGGCCGTGGAGTACGTTGAGAGTGGGATGGTCTTGGGACTTGGAACAGGTTCCACTGCAGCTTTTGCTGTGGCCAGGATCGGACAGCTGCTGCAGAATGGGACCTTGAAAAATATTGTGGGGGTTGCCACGTCCAAGAGGACGGCAGAACAAGCTGAGGCTGTTGGCATTCCACTCTCTGGGCTCGACGACCATCCGGTGATCGATTTGGCCATAGATGGAGCGGATGAGGTGGACCCGGACCTCAATCTCGTCAAAGGACGAGGAGGGGCACTTCTGCGAGAGAAGATGGTGGAGAGGGCATCAAGGAAATTTGTGGTGATCATTGATGACTCCAAGCTGGTCGATGGGCTAGGAGGTAGTGGGTTGGCAATGCCCGTGGAAGTTGTACAGTTCTGCTGGAGGTACAATTGCTACAGGCTGCAGAATCTTGCTGAGATTGCAGGCTGCGAGGCTCGGCTAAGGATGGATGGGGACAAGCCATATGTTACGGACAATTCAAACTACATCATAGATCTCTACTTCTCCGCTCCCATCAAGGACCCTCAAGCTGCAGCCAAGGCCATCTCGTCCTTGGCGGGGGTTGTCGATCACGGGCTATTTTTGGACATGGCAACGGCCGTTGTAATTGCTGGGAAGGAAGGGATCGAAGTGAAGGAGCGTTGATTGGTTGATTCATGTTCAACTTGTGGTTTCTATCGCTCACACACACACACACACACACACACACAGAGGAGAGAGAGAGAGAGAGAGAGAGAGAGAGAGAGAGAGAGA